TGGACGAGCTGACGAGGAGGGCGCTTCACGCGCCGCCCCGTTCAGACCTTCTTCCCGTTCCCTGAGTCTCCTTGCGTAGCGCTTCCTCTTGGCCTGGCTGGGTCGCTTGCGTCTCCGACTGCCAGAGGTAGGCGCGCCTTCTGCGTCGGCCTCTGGCTCTTCGGCCACCTGTGAACCTGGAGAACCAGGGACCGCAGAAGCGGTATGGCTCTCCCAACCGGCGAGCAAAGCACACACGAGTTGTAGCACCAAAATTGGTGACAGGTTCTCCGGACGTCGGAGCACGAGGGCCGACTCCCGGGACGGGTGGAAAGCAGACGAACCGATTACATCGGACGTGCCTTGGGCGGTGTCCGTGAGTCCATCGACGACGCCGTTGGGGTTGACCTTCGGCCCTTTGACGGTGCAGGAATCCAGTACCGGGGACACTGCGACGATCCGCTGGCGCTCCAACCGAGAGATCGCTTTCTCCACCTCAGGGTGGATACTCACGAATCTCCACGTCTGTTGCTCTTCCAACGGAGGCGCAATGGCGGCTCTGGTGAGAGCGACAACATCGGAGCCGGACACGGCAACCCCCGAGGGCATTTTGCCTTCGACCAGAGCGTCCACCTCTTCGTACAGAGATGGAGCACTGTCGGCCGCAAGATAGTGGGCTACCTTGGGTGTACCCTCGAGAAATTGGCCAAGCCAACCGAGTTTATCCCCCAGTGCGGAAACACCAAAAGAGACAAGTCCCTTCCAAAGGAGCGCAACGAAAGCCAATAAGCCCCATGCAACGACCAGACTGACACGAGAAGACGACGCGGGCGAGTTTGATGCCGCCGTGTCGCAGTCCACGGGACCAGAGTCCACGCAGATCTGCAACACGTCGGCCTCCTCCCACAGCGGGATAGCCACGCTGATTGTCGACTTCCGCGTGCCGGTGGCGTTCGGGAAACCTACATGGGTGGCAGGACTTGGGAAACCAGTCGAGCGGACGTACAGGAACTCCTTGTGCCCAGGAGCCGTGTACGTGGAGGTTATGGCCTCCGCTAGGTCGTAGATCCCCTTGGCCAAAGCCGTTGCACCCACGGCGTCGGATATGGTCCTCACGAACCTCCCGTGAGGATCATTGTTTCCTGGCACTTGGAAGAATGATCCCCAGAGAGTGAGGAAGATAAATCCTCCGACAAAAGGTAAAAGCATTTTTCTGTTCTCAACAGTACKTTAGCCACCAACACTCAAGTGAGCTTCAAACGGAGAACAAGTAGAAAGAGCACCGCGAAGCTGTTTAATACTTTTTATTTGTTTTGAACTTTTTCTAAAACGATGCAGAAAAGCAATTTGATTAGCTGCTGACAGTTGTTTCGTTGGTTCACGATCAGTGTTGAGGTAACAAGCTTGGTGATGATGGGCAGAGAGAGAGAAGAGAGAGGAGAAGAAGAGACGCGGAGGAGGAGAGATATCAGTGAGCAACACTTACTGTGCGTCGAGGGTAACTCTCATTCACTGCCGAAGGTGAATGTCTCGACAGTGAATGCCGTCAGGGGGTGCTGGCCTGGCAGGTGAGCTGGTGCAAGTGAGAAGAAACACCCCATATATGAGGGACAGAAACACAAGCAAGCAAGTAATTAGTGTCAAGCCTTGTATTCGAATAGAAATGAATCATATATGAACACCAGGAGGGCTGGAAAGGTCACATATAGGACAAATGCTCGTCATAAGCTCCTCAGAATATGCTTTTGTGATAGAAAACGGTTGAGACACAGAAAGAAACCTAACTCCACCATGTAAACCCAAGATATCATATCTGATGAAAAGGAAAGCACGAAAGAATTCAACAAAGAGACACCCTTTAGTCGAGGTCCATTTCCTCCTCGACACCTCCGTCCACCAACAGTCTTGTCTTCTTCTTCTGTCTGAGCTGCTCCTCGCCGACCACTCTGCTTGAGATCTTGCTGATATCCAAAGGCTGGCCCTCTTCTCTTTCCCGCAGTTCCTTGCGGATGAGGTGCTCGCCCTCCGCAACAACCCTGCGGTCTGCCTCGCGCTTGCGCTCGCGGGCCACCTTGCCGCCCAGCCTGCGTTTTGTGAACGCACGCTCTCTGCGGGCTCTGATCTCCTCCACTCTCTCCATGGCCTTGATGGTAGCAGCAACCAGGTTTCTGTCGTACTTGACGGGGGTGTTCCGCTTCTTGGCGAACTGAGACAGCACCAGGGACGAGTCGACAATCATTTCCTTTCCGCGGGCGGCACGGTGAGTCTTGGTCCACTTCAGCTTTCGGGGTTGACGCTTCATCTTGAAGTTCGCATGACACTTGCTCCGACCTGGAATCGAATTAGATCTCTTGTCGTGCGTGGGGTGGACGTAGAAATGGGCACTAACAGAATCGGAAAGATTTCGCATCGTTGCGGACGAAGGTGATACCCTTGCTCGGGTATACCGGCCTGTTTGAGGAGTCAGTGTCGGGTCCTGATTTCTGTAATCAGGCAGAAATTACCTGGAGCAAAAATGACAGGTCTCTACCCTCATTGTGATATTATAGGGACCGGTTTATTGCAAAATGTTGTTATCGTGAAAAGGCGGCTGGAAAATCCGTAGAAACTTTTACAAAGCTTCGAAGCGTGGAGGAGACGGCGCTAAACCTAAATAGGCATCGCGGCGGCGTTCCGATTTTTATCTCGACAGCCCTCCGATTTTCTCCAACGTCAGAACTTCGATTGCCATCTAGAATCCATAACTCATCGATATATTGCTTGTGCTGCTCCCTGCTCTGCTACGTCTTGCAGCCTACTTGAGCATGGCTTCGACTTTTGCTATCGGCCTTGGTGTCGCTACAGCGGCCTTTTTGGTAAGGAAGAAGTTCTAGGTATTCCTTTGCGATACATAGTCGGCTCACTGTTTTCTTTCCGTTCTGCAGGGTCGCGCAGGTTTCGTCGCTCTTCGCCGCTACCAGGGAGGTATGAACGCTATGGGAAAGGCATTTTACAAGGGGTAAGTCCCACCCGTCCTGATCATATAGTTAGAACGAGTCGAGGTTTGCTAACAGGTGCTTAGAGGATTTGAGCCACGCATGACCCGTCGTGAAGCAGCCCTGATCCTGGAACTTCCGTTCGTCTACCAATCCGTCTCCTTCCACCATCCAGTTTGACTAACAAAGCTCAGCGAGCGGACTCTGAACAAGGACAAGGTCCGCAAGAAGCACCGCCAACTCATGCTGCTGAACCACCCTGATCGTGGTGGAAGCCCTTATCTTGCAACCAAGATCAACGAAGCCAAGGAGTTTTTGGACAAGCACACCTGATGGTCCGTCTATACCTATAGATCGCTCTCGACAAAATCCAGGACCAATGTCGGTGTGCTAGGATTCTGATCTCGTTTCGAGTATCCGTTCGTCCATTGTACAAAAGATGACTTTTTGTGGGTGCATAGCGTGGCGTTTGGTTGGATTTCGAGGATGGGGTATAATCATACTTATAACCCCGGGGGCTCCTTTTTGGAGATGTATATTTTCACCGCATATATCCTGACGAGATCGCCGCTCCTGATTGTTTTAGTTCTGTGCTTCATAATTGTACTTGACTATGCATATTCGAATCACACCGCATTTGAATCTTATCTGCCCTACCCAGTCACTGAACGGCCTTGGTAATAATGCAGAGAGCGATGCTGTTACTAACGAAGAGTCATGAGTCTCGATCCTTGTCAATGATCGACATTGACAAGGAATGGCTGTGGACTGCTTCACCGAACAAATGACACGCACTCTGCCAAGGAGATTGAAGGATAACAAATACGGCGATACGAAATACGAATACGGTTATCACCGGGAAACAGATGATAATAAACACTAGGTGAACAAAAGGGGAAATTAGGCTATTGACTGGGGACTCCGTACTCTGGTAGATAGTCCCTAGTGATGGTTTTCATTGTAGACTCGTACACAAGCAAGTCGTGCAGAGTGTGTCGACCACGGGATCCGTTTCTGATACTCGATGGATCCTAGATCCTGGATCCTGGAGGATTCATGGCTCATCCAGACATTAGAAACTCGGAAGGAGAAAGCAAATGACCACCGCCACTAGACTAACCCACCAAGGATTCCAGAGCGATGGAAGGCGGAACCCCAAAATCCCTAAATCCCTTGCTCTGGTTTGCGCTCGGATTTCGGTGTTAACGACATCCGTTGCGATGGTCCCGCTTAGTCGATTGTGGTTAGTCGGGGAGGGACAGAGTAAGAGAATAATACTCCGTAAGCATTTTGTTTAGTCTAATTTCTAGTTGAAACTCTGAACCACAGGAAAGGGACTATCTGTTCAGTGTCTCAGACTAGATAGAGTTAGGACTTTAGATTTATTAATCAGTGATAGCAGACATAAAAAGAACAGCGCTCAACCTGTATGGCCAGAAAGCTTCCGCCCAAGTCTTCTGCGACAGCCTGTAAGAATTTAGCTGCACTTTAGTCTCTCTACTAAGCGGACTTGGTCAACCAAAGGCAGCACCGTTTGCTACGTAACTGCAATCTGCAAACCGAACTATGATCCCTCTCTCTTTCTTTCAACGAATTTTATCTTCTTCTCCTTGATGATCTTTGCTTATGGCCTACCTGATACTTAATCAGCAGCCGTTCTAATCTACAGCTGACAAGCGAGAAGGATTTTCTTATTCCCCACCTTTGGTGTACCTAGTATTTGGGCTCGCCACATGCTTGCCTCGGGGCAAAGATTGAGTAAGCCAGTTGACCGTCTTCGATTCATCCTTTCAGAACAGCTTTTGCCGCCTCTACCAGCGATTTCGCGCTGGATGGCGATTGTCATCGACCATCCATAGTCTCTCATTTTGCATACTGGTCGGATTGGGAGCGAATACCAACCTGCTTATCCTCCATATCGGCCTCCGAATCTAGATACCGAAACCCCGCATTGATCAGATCATTTCGAGTCAAACACCTGTTTAACTCAAGTCTGCCGGTGGAGAGTTACTTGCGACAACGGGCGTCAACATACATGCAACTGCGATGGACAGTATAGGGGACGGAACAGAGAGCATGGGCTTCGATATGCCCATGCTGATGAATCAGCAACCTCATTTGTTCGGGTCATATGGCCATGATGGCTCTCCCGTCGCTCCCATGTTTTCCAATCCCACCTTTCACGATGAACCTTCAATCGGAACGGCGGATGATACCAGTGATGCGAAACGCAGAAGGATCGCGAGGGTGAGTGGGGACGCATCTCATGCTCCAAATGTCAAGCTTCCCTTGTTGACTTACTGTCATTGAGGTAGGCCTGCGACATGTGTCGGAAGAAGAAAATCAAATGTGATGGCAAGATGCCCAAATGCTCGCATTGTACCAACTACAAGACGGATTGTGTGTTTACCCAGGTTGAGAAAAAGCGAAATCCTCCTAAAGGGTATGCTTACTTCTCTGCTTCGTGTCTGAATTCCTATGCTGACTTTCGCATCGCGATTAGTGCCAAGTATATCGAGGGTCTTGAAAACCGATTAGGGAGGATGGAGTCTCTACTACGCCTTTCTGGTCTCTTGTCAGAGGACGATGGAGGAAAAACAGACCTTGGAACGCTGGAGAAACGTCTTGCTGACCGGTATCACACAAACGGTTCGAATACTCCGCATAATCCGCATAAGATCAACATCCCCAGCCAGAGTCAGACCGCTACGTCACAGCAAAATAGCTCATCGCACTATTCTACTCCTCGGTTGGAGTCTCAATCAAGCCCACGTACAGCTGCTACGTCCCCGGAATCGCAAAAGGAATCAGAAACGGAGGTTGAAGGCCTGTCAGACATGATGTGTTCCCTCGTAACAAATAATTGCGGGGAAACGCGATACATCGGTAAACATCTCAATAACTTACGTGGTGATAGGGATAAATTACTGACCGTCCTGATCGCAGGTTCTTCGTCAGGTTTCTCGATCTTCTCTCCCAAAGGCATCCAATGGGTTAATGAGAAAACGGGCGACACCTCATTTCAAGATATGATTTCATCAGCCTATGTAGATGATAACAAATGGATGTACTGGAAGCCTGAAATCTTTAGCGATATATTTGCTCGCCGCGTGTTCAAGCCGTTGCCACCGAAGGATGAAGCCATGTCGCTTTTCAAAGACTTCTTCGACAATTTCAACTGCATGTTTCCGCTCTACCACGAGCCGACTTTCATGCACCTGGTCGAACGACAATATTCTCGAGATCCTTACGAAGGTTCTGGCTGGTGGGCCAGCATCAACGTTGTGCTAGCCATCGCTCACAGATTACGAGTCATGAGCAATCTGGTCCCGCAAGAAGAGGACAGGAAAGCCTGGCTGTATTTGAAAAATGCCATGGGAGTACTGACAGAACTAACCATGCGGAATACGGATCTTCTCAGTGTTCAAGCGCTTCTTGGAATGGTAAGTTTAGAATGTGAAGAACGCATCACCGTAGAGTGTGCTGACAGCAATTAGTCTCTCTTTTTACAGGGAACTCCAAACCCCCAACCGTCCTTCTTCTTGGTTGCGGCGGCAATCAGACTTTCTCACAGCATCGGTCTTCATAAAAGAGGCTCTGGCTTCGGTCTGAACCCAGTGGAAGTTGAACAACGAAAGAGAGTCTTTTGGATCGCCTATCTTCTTGACAAAGAGTAGGTAGAACTAAACACAAGTACGTTGCACTTGTGCTAATCTGCCCCATAGCATTTGTCTCCGTTCGGGGCGTCCCCCGGTACAAGATGACGACGACATGAATGTGGAATTACCAAGCGACGATCCACCCGACAACATCGGCAATGTCCCATTATCTGACGGTAGAAGCAAGTTTAACTTGTTCCGATCCATGTGTCGCTTCGCTACTATTGAAAGCAAGGTGTACAAACGGCTATACTCTGCCAAGGCGTCAAAACAGTCTGATGGCGAGCTTCTGAATACTATCGGAGAACTCGACAAGGAACTCGAAGATTGGAAGGACAGTATCCCACTGGATTTTCGACCGGAACACGAAATCAAGGCTTCGCACACACCTCTTATTCTCCATGTCGTTGTCCTACATTTCGCCTATTATAACTGTTTAACGACAATTCACCGTATGTCTGTGCATCACGGTTATTGGACAAGTCGTCTCTCCAATTACGCCATCCAGGGTCTGAATGCCAGGCCCTTGAATCCTAGGGTCTTCTTATCGGCAGTACTCTGTGTGACTGCTGCCAGGGCGTCTATTAACCTAATTAAATACATTCCGCAGGGTGATTTCGCTTGTGTCTGGTGAGTGCATTGTTTCTCCGAAAAGGATATCGCTTCTAAGCTAACAGTACTCAGGTTGATTCTATACTATCCCGTGTCAGCTCTTGTCACACTCTTTGCCAATATTCTCCAGAATCCCAGTGATGCTCGCGCTCGGTCGGATGTCAAGTTGATGAATGTAGTCGTCAATTTCCTGTCGACCTTGGTCTCGGATGAGTCGAACGGCAGCATCAAGCGAATGCTTGGTCTATGTGGAGAATTCGAGAGGATTGCGAAGGTGGTCCTTGATAAAGCTGAGAAGGAGTCATATTCGAAGAAGAAGCGCAAATCCCCCGAGGAACCGGTCAACTTGCAGCAAAGTACCCCCGAAGAGCATCCCGCACCCTCACCCTCGACAACGCAGCCCACTCAGGCGCCGTCAAGAAATGTCCCAATGTCGTCGCCATTGTTCGCTGATAATCCAGGTGATCCCGGCCGTAATACTATGGCCAACGATGCAGGAGGTTTTGCCTCCACTCGTGAAATCCCCGAGGCGACTGGTATCTCAAACAATATCCCCCCCAACATACAGGGTATGCCCGGAATCGGACAGGAGTTCCAGGGCATGCTGAGTCCCGATCCGCTGGAAGGTGTCAGTTTTGCCGATCAAGCACCCTTTTCCGCGACCGCAAATACGCCGTTGTCATCCTTTCAGCAGCCCTTCGTCCCTCAAGATTTGTGGCAGATGCCGATGACCATCGAATGGGACTGGGCAGACATGTCAACAAATTTCCCGGTCTTCGACACCCATGGTCCGCCCCAGGGTGGGCTGTGATGACAGCCTAATAATGATTAAACCAAATAACGAATCGGAACACGGGCGTGAGAGGCTAATTTGGGCTTAGTAGGGCATCGGAGTTAACGGAGTCAAGCCGGGCTTTCTCTACTCGCTCGCTGCGATGCATTTATTTTCTTTTTTTTGACATTCTCGGGCATAAAAGGCGTTTATGGCTTGTGAAGAAACTCGATAACACTCCACTTGCTCATCTTATCCGTTGAACGATGTTCAACTTGTTTATTACGATTTGTACAAAAGAGTAGAATGCCTCTGGTCAAGGCAGAATGGAAGGGTTGACTGTAACATGAAACACATACTCATAAAACCGACGTCTTGCAAATATGCCTTAAACAGATGCATGTGTCTGATTTGAATGACCCGAAAGGTCATAGATAACGTGTAGTGGATTTATTTTCAACAATCATACGTGGATCATACTACTGTAAAATCATCGGTCCAACATGTCCGTTTGATGAGGCTTTCTGGTTGCGACGGATGAGTCAGCAAACCAGCGGAACTGCGAAAAATCCCAGGCCGACGGAAGGTGTCAACGCCCGGCGGCGAACTGCTTCCCCAAGAGCTCCTCTCAAGCCCGAACAAACATCTCTTATCCTCCTTTTTGTCTCATCTAGAGCCTCTATGGCTTCCGCGGACTCTCTTTTCTAACTGAAGTGAGCCTAATTCAATCCTTTGACCCCGCCTTCGGGCTCATCTACCTCGACCATGGCCACCTTACTCAGACGGCCAGGCAATCTTGCTCGATATTCGAGGAGAGCCGCAGAATGCATCAATCGCACACGTCCGCTGTCTGCGCGTGTTCCACAGTCGAGATTATCATCGTTGATCGCGGCCCACCGTGTTAGGACCTATGCTACTGAAACCACCGGGGGTCCGAAGCCCCCGAACGACAAAGGCGGCCAGAACCATGCAGCGACGGGACCGGGGAATGACGGCGGTAAACCTGGAGATGGGAAGACGCCGAAAGAACCCGAGTCCCCTCTTAGTAAGGAGGACCAGGAACAAGTTCATCTATTCGTTGACCACCTGAAGAACAAGGTGCCGCCATCGCAACATCAGATGCTGGATGATATGCGGACACTGTTGCTAAGGGAGGGGTTACCGGCGGAGATGCAGCAGTTCATCAAGAAGCACATTCAATCCGGAAGGCCGGCGTCTCTAATGGATTATGTTAAGTTAACACGATACATGTCGCAGCACATGACCGACTACGCCTACAAACTGAACCAGATCGAGGAGGAACGGAATAAGGGGAAAGCCAAGTCAGAGGGGGGTGCACAGGGCGAGCAACAGAAGCAACAACAACAGCAGCAGGATCAGCAGCAGCAAGAGCAAAAGAAGGGACGAGATCAGGCGAACAAGCAAACACCTCCGAATTTCAGGACCTTCGAGTTCAAGTTCGACCCCGCCTCGTTTCTCATCACCTCGATCATCACCTACTATGTATACCGCAGCTTCTTTCCTGGGGAAAACAGCAAGGAGATCACATGGCAAGAGTTTAGAGCGAACTTCTTCGACAAGGGTCTTGTGGAAAAACTGACGGTTATCAACCATGCCGTAGTCAAGGTGGACTTGCACCGCGACGCGTTGGCTCGGGTGTACCCTGACTCGCCGGCGTTACAGCCAAATTTCCACTATTACTTTGGTATTGGTTCCGTGGATAGCTTTGAGCGGAGGTTGGATGAAGCTCAGCATGAGCTTGGGATTCCAAGCTCCGAGCGGATTCCCGTCGCCTACGTTGACGAGGTACCATGGCTTACCACAATTCTATCCGTTGCTCCTACTCTTTTCCTGATAGGTTCTTTCTTCTGGCTGTCGAGACGTGCCGCCGGCGGTGCAGGTGGCCAGAGCGGAATCTTCGGTATGGGAAGGAGCCGGGCCAAGCGCTTCAATCACGAAACCGATATCAAGATCAAGTTCTCCGACGTTGCGGGTATGGACGAGGCAAAGGTCGAAATCATGGAGTTCGTCAGCTTCCTCAAGACACCTGAAAAGTTCCAGAAACTCGGTGCCAAGATCCCTCGCGGTGCCATCCTCTCAGGTCCTCCTGGTACTGGTAAGACGTTGCTCGCAAAGGCTACTGCCGGTGAATCCGGCGTACCTTTCTTCAGCGTCAGCGGTTCCGAGTTCGTCGAGATGTTCGTTGGTGTCGGTCCTTCCCGTGTCCGTGATCTTTTCGCCAACGCCCGGAAGAATACCCCCTGCATCATTTTCATCGACGAAATCGATGCCATCGGTAAATCCAGAGCCAAGCAGAGCTTCGGTGGAGGTAATGATGAGCGGGAGAGCACCCTGAACCAGATCCTGACTGAGATGGATGGTTTCAACACTACGGAACAAGTTGTCGTTCTCGCTGGTACCAACAGACCCGATGTCCTCGACAAGGCTCTGATGCGGCCTGGACGCTTTGATCGGCACATTGCTATCGACAGACCAACGATGGAAGGCCGGAAACAGATCTTCCGCGTCCACCTGAAGAAGGTTGTGACCAAGGAGGATATGGATTATCTTGAAGGCAGACTCGCTGCTTTAACACCCGGCTTCGCTGGTGCTGACATTGCTAACTGTGTCAATGAGGCAGCTTTGGTTGGTAAGTGTCGAAAGTTTGGTCTGTGGTTGTCCAGCAATGCTAATTTTCCTCGTTAGCGGCTCGTGAGAACGCCGAGTCCATCACCATGAAGCACTTCGAGCAGGCCATCGAGCGTGTCGTCGGGGGTTTGGAAAAGAAGTCACTCGTGCTTTCTCCCGAAGAGAAGCGGACAGTTGCTTACCACGAGGCTGGACACGCCATCTGTGGCTGGTATTTCCGTTGGGCGGATCCTCTTCTCAAAGTCTCGATTATTCCTCGAGGCCAAGGAGCTCTGGGTTACGCACAATATTTGCCAGCGGGTGGTGACACATACTTGATGAACGTAAACCAGCTGATGGATCGCATGGCTATGACTCTGGGAGGCCGTGTCAGCGAAGAGCTGCACTTCGACACTGTCACCAGCGGCGCCAGCGATGATTTCAACAAAGTCACCCGCATGGCAACCGCCATGGTAACCAAGTTCGGCATGTCGCCCAAGCTCAGATACATCTACTACGAGGAGGACCCTCAACAGCAGCTTCACAAGCCCTTCTCCGAGGACACCGCTCGGGAGATCGACAGTGAAGTCCGCCGCATCGTCAATGAGGCATACAACCAATGCCGCGCCCTACTCACTGAGAAAAAGAAAGAAGTTGGCATCGTCGCGGAAGAGCTCCTGGCCAAGGAAGTCCTCAGCCGTGATGACATGGTTAGACTCCTCGGTCCCAGACCCTATCCCGACTCTGGGGAGTTCGCCAAGTACTTTGGTGCCGCCCATGGACAGACCATTGCTCCTCCGGAGCCTACGCCCCCAATTGAAGGTTCTGAGGGTGCTAAACCGCCCTCGTAGGCGACGAACTATAGAAACAGCGGGATATCCATGGTCAGGCGAGGAGGGTGTTACATGTTTCTTTTTGCCAGGATCTGTATTTATTGAATGACTGAAGCATCTCCGCTGTCTTCATATCTTATTCTCCCCGTTGGCTTTCACTTGTATCATAAATATTAGGATTTTGTGATGTCTCTGCATTTCCCTTCCTCTTCACTCATCTCGTTCGCGTTTCAACTTCCGATTTAGACTCATCATGTGTACTCCTGTATATTATGTGACCATCTAGGCCGAAGATGGTGGAGCACCAATTTGACACGCTTAGAACGCTCTACAACGTGGATTCCCCATATTCCTTTGAACTCTGAATGTAGCAGCCTTGTGTTCGCCTGGTAACACACCTGACCAAAACTTGATATAGCGGATCCAATACTCCAACTGGAAGCAGACATCAAAATTTCACTCAAAACTGACAATATATATGTTAACAAATTTCAGTCATCCAGTACCCCGGAAATCCAAAGTAAAGATATATAAATTCACAGAAATCCAGCATCGAAACCCCAACATTCTCCCATCACCGACTTTTCTTGCCCTCCTGCGTCACCTGATCACCAGCGCTTGCCGACTCAGTCTCGGACCGAGGGGCCTTCTTCTTGCTGCCATTGTGCTTGGGCTTGACAGAAAACCGAGGAATGAAGCGTCCCACACGCGCCTGATACTCGCTGTATTCGGGGTACTTGCTTGCACTGATCGATTCGGTCAGCCGGGTGCTTGACTGGAAAATAAGCAGGTAGCCCAAAACACCCAGTCCAGTCCACTGAATGTAGCTGTCGGTGCGGTAGCAGTTCCACAGGTACAGCGTGAGCCAGAACGCTTGCTCGGCGACAAAATTCGGGTGACGGGACAGTGACCAAAGACCGCTAACGACGAAGCCGCGCTCCAGGTCCTCAGGAGTGAATTGGCCTTTGTACTGGTCGGGGATGCGAGCTGTCTTCTGGTACTCCTTCTTTGCGCTTTGGAAGTTCCATTGCTGCTGGTCGGCGAAGTATTCGATAATGAGAAAGAAGAATGCGAGGCGTGAGAATACGAGGTCGGGGAGGCCGAACGGTTCAAACCCAGGGAGGCGCGAGAGGAGAATGAAGTTGTAGGTAGGCGCCGTCACAAGGAGAAGCAGCATTGGCTGAATGAAGCTGATGAAGGTGACGTTGAGCAGGAAGAAAAGGAAGCGGTTATTAATCTGGGACTTCACGATCTCCCAGCGGTAGTCCTCAGAACCAATCTGATAACCTCCCTTGCGCCAGTAGGTGAAGGTCAATCGGACCTAAGCGGAATTAGAGTTGGCAGATACAAAGTCGTCGCGTTAATATAACTTACACTCCAGAGCAAAGTGATGACTGCGATTGTATCCAGGCTCTGATTCTGAATGCCCCACATGCGCGCCCAAGCGACAAAGTGCACATTATACACAGCCGGCAGGATACTCCAAAACCGATCAACTTGCGAATAGTTGCGGTTGATTTCCGCGGACACGACGAAGAGCACCCACAAAACCAAAGTAAACCCGAGCGCCGAGATGAACGGGTTTGTCGAAAGATAAATATCCTTCAGAGCGTCCACATCTTTCGTTGCGGCGGCCACTTGCAGCTGTGCAGGAAGCGTTGTCAACTGCGACAGGAAGGGCAGCACGGTGCGGTTGAATGAGGCACAGTCCACAACAGAGTGAACTTGAGGAAGCGGAATCGCCATTTCGAAGAACTTCAGAGCAGGTGTCGCAGTTTGGATATTGCACACCCGACGGTGATTCTGGGAGTTTTCTTTTCGACCGAGGAGAATCAAAACATCGAGGCAAAACAAAGAGATGCCATCATGACGACGCGGACAAGCGTTTCCATTGGACGGCACCCTTACCGCTTTGGGCGAGGAAGACCGGCGCATGACAGGACTGCCTCAGGCGTCTAGGCTCCCAGGCATACAGGCAGAAATATACCATCTCCGTTTCTGGAAGTTGGTCGCGTCTTTTTCGCGTCTCAAATGTTCCTCTACTCGAGGAAGCAATAATGTCGGGCTCATGACCAGAGTATCAACAAGGGCGAATCAAGCATGGCATAACCGAGACTTTTTTTGAATCGACAGGCTATTTACTATGCCTGTCCCAAGGGTTCTCTGCGTGGCAGAGAAACCTGCCATCGCTAAAGCGGTGGCTCAGCATCTCTCCGGTGGTTCCATGCAAACTGTGAGTGACCGTTGGCTTGAGACGTCACGGGTTATTGAAGTCACATATACTGAGATAGACATAGATATCTATACACGGTAATAAATATGTGAAAAATTATTTATTTGAGTTCAATTTCGGTGACCCCTGGGGCACCTGCTCAGTCACAATGACCAGCGTCCTGGGACATTTGATGGCCCTCGACTTTGAGAGTCAATACAAAAGCTGGCTCTCATGCCCACCGGGCGCACTCTTTGAAGCTCCTGTGCGCGAATATGTGGAAGAAGTATGCAATATCAAGCTCTAGTTTTCAGTCGTCAAGGGCCTGGTCACCGGCATTTCTCAAACCACGGAGCAAGCCTAACTCTGTCTATAGGAGAAGAAACCAATTGCAGAAAACATTATCGAGCAGGCCAGGATGTCGAAGGCTCTATTTATCTGGACTGACTGTGATCGAGAGGGAGAGCACATCGGTACTGAAGTCCGCAAAACAGCCAAAGAGGGAAACCAGCGTATCCTGGTCAAAAGAGCGCGATTCAGCAACACAGAGAGGGCGTAAGTGTATATGGACGATACATAGCTCTTTTCTATCAGCAATGCTCACCTGATCACAGGCATGTTCTACGCGCTGCTCGGGCCCTCATAGATGTGGATGAGAACCAAGCAAATGCAGTTGCTGCCAGAATCGAACTCGATCTTCGAATTGGTGCTGCATTCACCCGACTGCAGAGTCTTCAACTGCAACGCATGTGTGCTGATCTGGCAAATAAACTCATCAGTTACGGTACGTCGCTGGCCTACTTTGAGGTTTCCTGATTCCAGCATCCATCTTAGCTGACTCGATCAACAGGATCATGTCAATTCCCTACACTGGGCTTTGTGGTCGATCGATATCTACGAGTGAAAAATTTCAAGCCGGAAACTTTCTGGGGAATTAAGGTGATGCACGTCCAAGAAAGAAAAAAGGTCAACTTCCTGTGGAGAAGAGTCCATCTTTTCGACAGGGCAGCCGTGACCGTCATGCTGGAAAGGTGTCTGCTAGCAAAGACCGCTAAAGTTACGAAAGTCAACCAAAAACCTACCAGCAAATGGAGACCTCTGCCGTTAACAACGGTGGACTTACAGATGATGGGCAGCAGGTACCTGCGCCTGGACAGTTCGGCGGTCATGAAGGTATGCAGTGTGTACAACGTTCTTAAGCTCTCACCAGAAGGCTTATCATGATTTAGGCCGCAGAATCTCTCTATACCAAAGGTTACATCAGCTATCCTCGTACTGAGACGGATCAATTTGACAAAGGAATTGATTTAAAGAAGTTAATTGAGAAGCAATTCCCCGATACCAACTGGGGTGAATACGCCCGAGGGTGAGTGTTCTTTAAAGCGGACATTCTCTGACATCGCTGACTCTCTCAACTATGAAGTCTCATCAACGGCGCGTTCAAAACTCCTCGTTCTGGGCGCCACAATGACCGCGCGCATCCACCTATCCACCCGGTATGCTGGGTCTCACCAAGTGCACTGAACTCTGACGAGAAGAAAGTCTACGAGTTCGTAGTCCGGCGATTTCTCGCTTGCTGCTCCGATGATGCAAAAGGTCAAAGCACCGAGATTGAGATCCAGTACGGCGACGAGATGTTTCACGCCAACGGACTGATCGTTCTGGAAAAGAACTACCTTGAAGTTTACGTATATGACAAGTGGGAGAGTAGCCAACAACTGCCCAACTTCCGAGTGGGTGAGGTTTTCGTGCCGACTGAAGCCAGCATCTTCGAGGGCAAGACAACGGCCCCCAACTACTTGACCGAACCAGAACTCATCGGGCTCATGGACGCGAACGGAATAGGGACGGACGCTACCATGGCCGAACACATCGCCAAAATCAAGGAGCGCGAGTATGTCGCCCTTCATTCGCGAGGAAGTGGTCGCAACGCTGTGAAGGAATTCATCCCAACTCGCCTAGGTATTGCCTTGGTGGAAGGCTATGACAACGTTGTCGCCAATCTACCGGATAAACCGTCTCTCAGCAAGCCCTTCCTGCGCAAGGAGATGGAGCTCCGTATGCGTGAGATCTGTGCAGGCTCCAAATCGCGACAGGAGGTTGTTCAGGAGAGTCTGGACATGTACCGCGAGGTCTTCATTCATACTCAGAGACGTATCGATATGCTGAAGGCTGCCTGCCGAAAATACCTGATTGAGCAGGCAACCGTGTGAATTTGCTGTTGAGGACTTCTGTTCGTTGGTTTGGGCGTTGTGGCTTGCAGTGCACTGCCTTTTGACTTTACAATTATGATACCCTTGATCGATTAGACTTGCTTTCACCAGAGCGAATCAACATGAATGATCTTACGATCTTACATTTGCAACTATATGAACGAATATGGCTTGTCCCAAACAACCGGATCTCGATCTCAGACAGCAGAAACTAACAAGACAACCCACGCAGAACACCAGCTCCAGGATTCTCCAAACTGAAAGACCAATAATTCTGGTGGCACAAAGAGCAATAAACAAACCACAAAAACACAAAACCAAAATCAAACAATCTACTGAGAGAGCATCAATCCTGACCTATGCCCTTGATTTCAAAAAGTTTCGCCAAGATCTCCTTTCGGATTCTTTTCGGAGGGCAAGGAAACGCTCTTTGATCTCTGCGCGGTTGGAGACTCGTCGGCCCATCTGCTTTTGCTCAGTCCAGCAGAAGTGGGTTCATCCAGCTTTGAAGGAGCTTGGCCTGAAGCCGGACTAGCCCACCTGCTTTTGCTCATTTCAGCATCTAGCTTTGGTGGAGCTTTGGCTGAAGCAGGACCGGCGTGCTGGCTTCCTTCAACTCCTGCACGACTAGGTGTGTTAGGCTGAGTCTTAGCCAGAGGAGGATCTGCCCACCTGCTTTTGCCCATTTCGGTAGAAGCTGGCGCAGCCAGCTTTGGCGCTTGTGCTGAAGCAGGGCTAGCTGACTGATCTTCTTCAGTTCCAGTAGGTGCTTTAGGCTGAGCCTGGGTTGGAGTTGAAGTAGCCCACATGCTTTTGCTCATTTCAGCAGAGGTAGACTCAGTGTTGGGCTTTGAAGGCGACTGAGCCGAAGCCGCCCCAGCTTCTTTGCTCTTCTCGCGCTTTGCGGACGAAGCAGATGTCTCTGTCTTCGAACAAGGTGTCCTTGGGGTGTGCTTCCCAGATGATTTGCCCTTCGCAGAACCCGGTGTCTGATAAGACTGGGTCCCTTCTGATGTCTTCGGTTGCACTTGGGTCGGAGTTGAGGGAGCCCACCTACTCTTGCTCATTTCAGCAGAGGTAGGCTCAATATTGGGCTTTGAAGGCGATTGAGCCGAAGCCTGGCCAAGTCCTTGGCTTTTCCCGCGCCTTGCGGAGGTAGATGTCTCGGGCTCCAAACGGAGGGCTTCTGGGATGTGCTTCTCAGATGATTTGCCCTTCACAAACCTCGTTGTCTGAGGAGACTGGGTTCCGTCTGATGCCTTCGGTTGGACTAAAGCCTCTTCGAGCTGAGTTCCTAATGCAGCAGATTCGTGGCCCTTCTCAACCTCTTGATTATGCTCTGCTCGCGATTGCGCTGTGTCTGCTTTGTCGTGTTTCGCAGCTTCATCACCCCAGCCTGCTACCGGCGATTGCTTTGGACCACTAATTGCTTTGGAAGCTGGATCTGAAGTCCTGGGACTGATCGCCTGAGACTGGGCAGTCGCACGGCGTTGATCGTCGGATGTCTGCACTTGTTCGTTTATTTGATCTTCGCCCTTTGGGGTTCCGGCTTCGTCCTTTGTAGGTTGTGCTGTCCTCTTTGACGATTGGGCCTCGAGTCCTGCGGCTTGAGCTTCGTTCTGTGAAGGCCCTTCATCGACAACGTCGGCCCCGCTCTTATGTGCGCCATGCTCTGCAGCAAGATCCTCATCGTTCGACTCAGAATTTTCGTCAGGACCCGGGCTTCTATCCTGTATAGTCACTAGATCAGCAGCGCTCAAGTCGAATTTGATGCCCAAAGCGGCCATGCATTTTTCTAGATGTCCCCAAATACTCATGTTCATGTTTCTTTGCTGCCACTTGTATTCGTCGAGCTTATGCATGGCTTCGGTCGATATATGCATCCGGGCATTAGTTTCCATGATATTCCTGGTTACTCTGCTGATCTTTTGCTTAATGCCCTCCTCAAGCTCCTTATTCCACTCGAGGGCACGATTGACGGCCTCCTGCAGACTTTTGTATTCCAGATTGTGAGAGTCAAGTTCATTTCTGAAGCATTGTACCTCCTTCGTTGAATCCTCGATTGCCCTTTCAATATCTTCCAATTGTTTGGCAAGTCCAGGGTCCTTGTTCTTCGACTCGCTCGCAGCGTTCTTGACTTCATCCAAAGCTTTCATGAGCCCATGGAGTTGGATTTTCATTCCTTCAGTTTGTTGCTCCAGGCGTGCGGCTATTTCTTTCAAAGCTTCTTTCACTTGTGTTTCGGTGACGGTTAAGTCGAGTTTCGACTGGATTTCTGCATGAGAATCCTTCAGGTTGAACACGGCTTGGTCGAGTTCGTCAAGTTCTTGCTCAATCTGCTTCTTGTCGAGGGGGGTCACTGAAGCCGCACGCTCGAGGGATTGCACACGCTTCTCTAGGCTCTGCACTTGCTCGTGAACGATGGTATCGACACCAGTTTGCGAGTTATTGCCCTCGCGAGAAAGTGATTGCAATGACGTTCGGAGATTCTCAATGTCTGCTTTGAGACCGCCAATAATCTCGTTCAGCTGTTCCTGATCGACAACACCAACAGAAAGGGATTGTTGAACCTTTGCAAGTGCAGACTCGATCTTTTCAATCCTCTTCTTCGTTTCTTCGTCAAGGGCTGAAATAAGATCATCCACTGTTCCGAGAATGCGCTTTTCCATGGCCGATGTTGTTGCTTCCAGGGTGCCCTTGGTGAGGCACTTGTGCTGATACAGATGAAACTCCTCAGTTGGATCTTTAAGCTGCTGATCTCCTTGGCTGTCGCCGTACACGTCTAGCGGTTGCTCTTGTAGGTTTATTCTGTGGTCCACCCGTCTGCTGAGTTGATTCAGCGCCTCCAGGGCACTTTTCACTACTTCGGTGCAAAACCGAAGGTGACCATCAAAGACTTGCGTGGGCGTCATTTTGTTGGATTCCACATCATCTCCTTCCTTGCATTCGGCGGCCATGCAATCGGACTGGAGAATTCCTTGGAATTGGCGCAAGTTCTCTGGAATCTCCGCGATCTTTGCTCTAATGTTGTCGCTGTCATGCGCAATATCGTCTTTGATTCCCAAAGCGACAGCAAAGCGAGCGATACGAATCCAATTCAGGGCCTCTTTCTCGCTTGGAAGGTCTGCCGACATGTCGGATTCCTGGACCGATGTAGCATTCGTATCATGCTTGCGGCTGCCTTGGGTGAATCCCTTCCAGAGTACGAGAATGATAGCAATCAGTACAAGGGCCGTAAAGAAGACAGTCCAGTACAAATCGGCAGAATTCTGATCAAGAGGAATGTCAAAAGTCCTTCCGAAGAGCGTGTGATGTATCGTGGTAAGTGGAAGGGGTTGATCGCTGCAAGAAGTACCAATATTTGTTGGACAAGTGGTCGTCAAATTCTGTTTCTGAACATACTGATCCATAACGTTCTTCAGTACGTCACCAAGCTCCATTGAAGCATTCTGCGCTGGGCTTTCACATGGGCTTTCGCATGGGCTTTCACATTTTGCGGCTTCGGGAAACACGAGAGGATGCCAATACCTGAGAGTGTAGATGGTGCTGGACACCTGAACGGAGCCCACCAATCGCTCAAGGAACGTGTGCTGAGGATCAACGACAGTAAAGGGGACATGCCAGTAGATTCCAGCGAGGTTGGTGGCTAGAGAACTGAGCACGAATATCGTGGCCTCCATCCTCAGCCAGGAGGAAGAAGTATGAACTGAGAAGGCAATCTGAAACTCGAGTATCCTTTCGAGTCTGAAGTAATACTTGCAATGTTAAGAAGAGAATAGGAGCGAGGAAAACCAAAGAGGGAAACCGGTTCAAGACCTCGTAGCCCCTTGGGTAGCATGTAGGATATATAACCCCGGACGGGTCTTCCTTGTGGATGAGAATATACAGTGGCAAGAACGAACGTTCTTTGACAGATAAGGCTCTGGGACGATGCCATGTTTGCAAACGAGTTGAGTCAAAGAAACGATGACTTCGAAGATGAACTGAGTCTAGCACGTCCTGCTTCGGTTGTGTCCAGCCACGAAAGACGATGAAACTTCGAAAGACGGAGTGCTGTCGAAGGAGGCAAAGCAGTTGGCGAAGCAGTTCGAATAAGGACAGGGGGAGAAGGCAGTTTGTGGTTGAGCCTAAAATAGTAGAGATGATAGAAACGGAAGAAAGAGAAATACTGAAAAGAAGAGATGGTTCAGTGTCTTTGAGATCGCAAAGAACTTGCTTTGTTATGGATGCTTTCTTTGTCCTGATGGGCTTTGAGCAACAACAACAACAACAACCGTCAATACATTCAGATCCAAGCCAAAGTAATACCTACATTTCCCGTTCTAGAGAAAATTTAGAATCAATACCTTTGACATTCTCGCTCATGGATAAATCCATATATTGTTTCAGAAGTTTAACCTTGACACTCAACATCTGAAGGATATCTAGCTAGGTCCATCAGACACAAAATACGATCCAGCTCGGTTAATTTGAGTACTCCCATGATGAATCATAATCAATGCAGACAAACAAGTCCTTGCTCCATGCATTTCTGATCTCCTTTCCAAAAGGCAATTTAGTGCAAGGAGGGATTGGGGGACTAGCGAGCCCCATCGTGGTCTTGCTTGTGCACATCGTGGATCCTGTTTCTGAACGGACATCTGCGCTTTCTGGGCCCAGACTCGCTTCTCACAGGTCGCTGACCATTGTTGTCTGCCATGCGTTTTGCGACTCTCTCACGCCGGATTCTTCGGCCTTCTTCGATTTCCTCTGGAGTGGGTGTAGGGTATCCAGACGCTGTTGCCCACAGGGCCATTCTCGAGATTGGCTCCTCGCCTTCTGCTCGTGGTTTTTCGCTCACAATAAGGCTTGCAGGTTCGTTTCCGTCCATGTTGTCTTCCATGGCCTCATATGCAGTCTCCGTACCGCACGCCTGAGTGGTCGGTACTTCCTCTGGAAGGGCCATGATGCGCTTGACCGGGGTCTGTATATTACCATTCCTTTCGGCATCGGTACTGACTCGAGCGAGAAAGTTGCTCATTTGCTGTCTCCAGTGTTGAAGCTCAAATTGGAAATCCTTGCACTCAGCTTCAATGGCTTCGGGATCTGGAAAGCTTCGACGTGCACGTTCCAATTTGTGCGCAAAATTCTTCACTTCCAGGACATAGTGGTCAGATTCGTTGTGGAATTGTGTCTCAAGAGCATCGCGCAGTTCCCTGACTTCAGCATCAAGGAAGGTGGGTAGTTCAGCGCAAACCCGCTCGTGCTCAATCGCTATCTGCTTCATGATGCTGTCTATTTGGCCGTTCAGMATTGAAACAGCGGAGCTCATCCTTTTCAACAGAAACATTTTCCGGGAACGGACTTCGCTGATGAAATCTAGAATCTCAATGTTCGCTACTTGGAGGCAGTGCCTGCGAGAATACCAAGTGAATATGGATGTTACTGCTGGTATCATCAACAGAACAACCATAACGAAAAGCAAAACTTGCCGGTTGATAAGTAGTGCTTCACGATACAGAGTCCCAAAAGTCGGCCCGTTGGCAAGATGGCCTGACGTGAAGACAGCATCCTGACTGGGCTGAGCGCGCCACAGTGAGCCCAGCTCACTCAAGCCCGGGTCAAACAATGTGTGGTTCCTGTGGTGGAGATTATCGGTGCCTAGGCACGCGATACCGGACTCAGGCCMGGGCGTGGAAACGGAGGATGGCTTTATGTACGATGCGTGTGCACGCCATTGATCAAGCTTTTTCATGATACCGTCAATCTTGAAAGCAGACATTCCTCCGAGAACTCTCAAAATATAGATATTGGCGCAAGCCAGGTGTGCTGAGATTGATTGGAGGGCTGATATGCACATAGGGCTGATGAAAGTGACCACGACAATTGCAACGGACAGAATAGACATCTTGCAAAGGCAGTTGGACGACAGTTAAGCTGAGAAGGAGGATAAGGGGGAAAAATTGCGCGAGAATAAAATCGGTAAGGGGAGAGCAAGCCTTCTTGTCTCTGATCCAGTCAAGACGAACTGAGGAAGAGGGGAAGATAAATATCCAGATGCTCAACGATTATCAATGGGTAATGGTCACCTCTGCGACAAAGAGTTGAATGGCCCAATATTTGAAGCAGTCATTCCGCGTACATGTCTCACCTGACTCAAAGCATGGTAGCAGATGTGCTTGACAAGGATACAAGAATAAAACACACAAATCGGCTGTTGACCTGCTGCTTTGTTTCAGGTTAATCACACAAGTTTTATGGCCGAAGCCAGAAACCTTCCGAGCCAAACGCCGGTGGATAATTATGTCTAGAAATCTCAAAGCGGAATTCAGGTACATGCGCCATCCACTGCAACAGAAAACGAGGTATCTAAAGAGTTTTTCTTTATGTTTGCAGACGGGCTGATGTATGGTCACCTTGTTGGAACAATATATACAGAGCGTTAAGAACATAAACTGGTAAACAGTAAGCAGTACTGAGGTTAGGGATCAACTGAGAAGTTCCACTAGAGAGATCTTCAAGACAAGCGCTTGCTAAGCACTGCACCGTAATAAATCGTAGCAGCAAGGCTGACCATGTTGATCAGACTTGACAGACCATGGAGTCTGCCGAATTTCTTGTTCAGCGCCATCATCTCCTTTGAGTGGGGTGCAGGGTCGTAGCTCTTCTTGCCATCACGAGTTTCTACAGAAATTTAGCAGCCAGTAAGTACGATGGGATAGCAAGGCCCGCAAGCATACCCTGATGCTTCCTCTCGTTCATCGTCCTGACAGTGAGTGGGCGCAGGATGACCTGATTGATCAGCCCACTCACCGCAGCAGTTGCGAGAGGCAGGAGTGTCCCAAATCGATTCTCAGGAGCGAGTAGTCCGGAAATGCCATTGAGCTGACCACCTTTGCTGGAAGTCAAGGCGACAACTACGGGAAGTGCGGACTGCAGCGTGAAGTACACGGGGAATATCGAAGTCTGCAATGTTGAGAACTGAGGGCGAGGAAGCACTCGGAAAGCAATGACGCCCCCAATAAATGTCTGTTGCGCCTTAATGTTAACAGCGTAGAGAATATCTAACCTGGCAGAATGAGGTTCACCTGGAACACTTGCACACCCAATAGGGTACCGTAGCTTGCGGCAGAAGTCAGCGACATGTTCACATCCTGATGACTTGGCATTCTGTACCTGAGCAGATGGTAGGGACGAGGATCAGTCATATTGGCTGTCCAACAATTAATGATACACTTTATATCCGTCAAGGGACGAGCTGGGATCTTTTGATGCAGAGAAGAACGATGGGACGGGGTCAGAAGGTTGTCGGAGGGTGGAGAGCTACGGAATGTCGGATCATATTTCGACGCACTCCTTCCGTGAAAAGATAATTGTTGCAACGGCTTTCATTAGATTTAGGGTATTTACACGCACTATGTACGATATCGACGCACCTTTCCAGTAATGATGTCATGTGCCGTCGCGTTCTGCCTAACGCCTAATCGGGAAATATCGCGCGTCTGCCTGGAGTGTCGTGTTTTGTCTATCCATCAATGACCAACCCTTATATGGCCCTCTATTCCATCATCTCCTGGCTCAATTTCTCTCCTAGAGCATCTTGAGATCATGGCGGAAAAGGAAGCAACGGTCTATATCGTGGATGTAGGGAGATCCATGGGGGAGAAGCGCAATGGCCGATCAGTGACGGATCTTGAATGGGCCATGCAATATGTTTGGGATCGCATCACAGCAACTGTGAGGATATTATTAAGCATGAGATGTCACGAACTCGCTGCTAATTGTTGGTAATTAGGTAGCCACAGGTCGCAAAACAGCCACAATCGGTGTTATTGGACTCAAGACAGACGGTGAGACACCAATAGGTCATCAAGTTCCGTCTCTGTTCTGTACTAACGTAGGAGAACAGGAACCTCCAACGAGCTTGATGATGACCCCCATTTTAAACACATATCAGTGCTTTCTGAAATTCAGCAGTACGTCTTTTCGATACACAGGCTTCATATACTCCTCGTCTAATGTACCAGATTTCTTATGCCAGATATCCGAAGATTGGATGCATTAATCAAGCCGAGCAAGACTGATAAGGGAGATGGTAAACAACCTTCTCATATTTTTGTTACCCAAGATATGGGAAAGTATCCTAACTCTTTCAAGCTGTTTCCGCCATCATTTTGGCTATCCAAATGATCGTCACACATTGCAAAAAATTGAAGTATAAACGGAGAATTGTGCTGGTCACAAACGGTCTTGGATGGATGAGCAATGAGGACCTCGACCAAATAACGAAGAAAATCAAGGAAGACAACATCGAGTTGGTTGTTTTGTCAGTAATACCGGTAGAGGGCACGGAGGCAATGTGCTAACTATACCCAGAGGCACTGACTTTGACGACCCTGAGTATGGCTTCAAAGAGGAGGGAAAGGATCCGCAGAAGGTAAAGACTCATCATGCTACCAGGAATGATCTTTCTGACAGAGAATCATAGGCCGGAAATGAGGCTCTTCTCCGCGGACTGGTTGAAGATTGTGACGGCGCATATGGAACGCTGGAACAAGCCATTTCAGAGATGGACATTCCACGGGTCAAGAAGGTTAGAACGGTAGCGACTTTCAAAGGATTCCTACAACTAGGTAACCCAGAGGAGTATGACACTGCTCTTCGAATTCCGGTCGAACGGTACTATCGGACATATGTGGCAAAGCCTCCAAGCGCAAGTAGCTTTGTGCTACGCTCAGACGTGGGAGCTGAAGAAGAACAAGGCGAATCGTCTGAAGCACCTAAGTCCCCCCCGGAGGGTGGCTCTCTCACAAGCGTCAGGAACCTGAGAACATACGAGGTCCATGATGAGAATGCTCCTGGCGGTAAAATGGACGTGGAGCGGGAGGAACTGGCCAAGGGGTACGAATACGGACGGACGGCAGTACATATCAGCGAGACAGACGAGAACATCACAACCCTCGAAACGTACGCAGCATTGGAACTGGTTGGGTTCATACAAACTGACAAAGTGAGTTTAACTCCTCTGGTTTGCACGTGGGAAACAGGAACTTATGGTCTATCCTAGTATGATCGCTATATGCACATGTCGACAACCAACGTTATTATCGGGCAACGTGGCAATGATAAAGCCTCGCTGGCACTCTCGTCCTTCATTCATGCTCTCTTTGAACTGGAGTGCTACGCGGTTGCTCGCTTGGTGGTCAAAGAGAACAAGCCTCCTGTCATGGTGTTGCTTGCCCCTTCAATTGAACCTGACTATGAGTGCCTCCTCGAGGTCCAGCTACCATTCGCCGAAGATGTCCGAACGTATCGTTTCCCTCCTCTGGACAAGGTGATCACTGTCTCTGGCAAAGTAGTAACCGAGCATCGAAACCTGCCGAACAAGGATTTGCTTGATGCAATGAGTGAATATGTGGATAGCATGGACCTTGTTGATACCGACGAAGACGGGTGAGTCCATCGATTAGTACCAGTCTGTGCTCTCCCGCTAATATGCCACCAGAAATCCGGTAGAGGAGCTTCCCATCGACGACTCATATTCGCCGGTATTGCATCGCATTGATTCTGCGATCCGTTACCGTGCTATACACCCCAATGATCCAGTGCCTCCGCCCTCGAAGAATCTAACAAAGCTTTCTCAGCCGCCACAAGACCTGGTAGAGAAATCAAAACATTATCTACAAAAGCTTATCGCGGCCGCCGATGTCAAAAAAGGTTCGCTCCAATCAGTTTCCCTCGGCAGGCGTGACCACTTGCTGACCAGTTTCTAGTACCGCCCAAAGTTAAAGGACGCAAGCGTGTTCGTGAAAGCGAGAAACCGCTGTCGGGTCTCGACGTTGATGCCTTACTCCACCAAGAGAAACGCGCCAGAATCTCTCCTACCAATGCGATCCCCGAGTTCAAACAGACTCTGACACAGGCAGAAACGATCGAGACGATCAAAGATGCCGTGGAGCAGATGACGTCAATCATTGAGGATCAGATCAAGAATAGTCTTGCTGATGCGAACTATGACAGGGTCACCGAGGAGATAGGAGTAATGCGGGATGAGCTTATTTCGTTCGAGGAGCCAGCGTTGTACAATGACTTCCTAAGGCAGCTGAAAGACAAGTTGTTAAAGGAGGAACTAGGTGGGGATCGGCGAGAACTTTGGTGGCTACTTCGACGCAGTAAGCTGGGGCTGATTACCCAGCGTGAATCTGATCAATCAGATGTGACTGAGGAACAGGCGAAGGAGGTGAGTCTTCGATATGATTGAGTTCCGGAAGCATATACTGACGTTCTACAACAACTAGTTCTTGTCGGCCCAATCCGACAAATCTTGATGCAGGATGTATTAGCTAGCAATGACGGGAAAGAATGACAATAGATACCAATTTGACGAGCTTTCAGACGGTGCCGCCAGAGTAGATTAAAGATAGTACAAAGTGATAGCCCGCTCAACTGCCGAAAATAACATGCATGTCGCTCCTCTAAATGGCTCAGAAATAGTAAATAAGAACTGTGTAGAAGCGGAAGTGCCCGTGAGACGCCAGACTAGGATATTTTGCCGACCCTCTTTTTGCCGATTTCGATCTTCTTTTGTAACCTGTAGGCGACAGACATTAGAATGGGTTATTAAAGCTGAAACAAGGATTGATACATACCTGTCCGTATCTTCATCCGTGAGCTTCAGAAGTTCATTCTGAATCTCCAGCTCAGCATTGATAGCAATCCCCAGTTCCTTCTGGCGTTGTACAATCTTCCTCAACTCCTCGATACTCATATCTTGATCCTCCATCGTCTGCTTCTGCAACTGTAGAACACCCTGGTTATCCAGCTCGCGAGTCCGCTCCGTCTCCTTGCCCAGCACCCTCCCCGAACGAGCAGGCTTCCGGCTCGCAGACCCAACCAACGCCTCCTTGTCTTGTATTGACGCAACTGCATTGTCAATCCTACTCTTAGCAGCCATTGCGTTCAACAAATCCTCCAACCCATTCTTCTCCTTCCTCGCATTGACCAGCAAGTCTTTCCTCCGTCGAATCTCCCCTTCGCCCAGCGCATTCCCGCTCCCCCACGCACCCCCCTTCCCGGACGAAACGGACCTCGCATCCGCATTCGCATCCCCGAGATTCTTCAGCCCGTCCTCCAGCGCCCCGATCAGACTTCCAGCCCGTACAAGGCTGCTCTTCGCCCGCGCAGAACTCTCATGCTGCTTCTGCGGCGTCGTCTCTTGGTCCCGTCTTGTGAGATGGAGCCGCGCATCATGCAGATGCGCCTTCATGTCGCGGTAGCAGTCAAGCCACAGCGTCGGGTCCGTAATTGCGCTCTGGGTGCCCACCGCGCCGGGCTCTGTGATGGCCGCATGCAGCTTGGCGGAGGTTGTCGCGTTGCCGTTGCCGACGGCGGAACTGGGGAGGTTCAGGAACGCGCGCCAGGCGCTGCAGTTGCGCCATCGGGGGTCGTCTGCTTCGTTGATGGCGCGGAGGTATGATTCGAGGCCCTGCCGGCGTTCTTCTCTGAGGGTTGGGTTTGAGACGGTGTTGGAGAACCAGTGTTTGCCGGGTAGGGGGGCTGGTGGCGGGGCGTTGGTTTGATTCAGCAGGGAGGTGTGGAAGGCGACAAAGTCGGAGTAGCGCTTGGAGATGGTGAAGGAGCGCAGGGGGAGGCGGAGGGTGATATTGTAGATTGTGTAGGGGGGTGAGGTGTGTGAGGTGGTAGCGGTTGGGATGGAGATTTCGACGTTTGGAGCCATGGCTTCGGTTTTTCCGGAGATGGAGGTAATTAGTTATGTACCTGTCTTCATCTATGCACCTCCCTTCATCAGCGCGAGAGTACAAAATAATCCTCTTCAGTATTCGATGGGATTGAGGCGATGAGGAGAGGCATGGGTGTTAGAAGGATGAATGACGGCCGGAGATAAGAGTCGGTTGGGGCGCGCAGCCTAAACAATGACGCAAAGAGTCATTCGTCCGCTGTTCATTACTAGACCACATGCAAAAGCAGACACCAGCAGATAGATGTCAAGGCATTCCTTGATCTCCAGGAATGTATGACTTCTGAAGCAGGTAAATACTTTTTATTTACTAAGGTCATAATTCCATTTTCTACTCTTTACAGTAACAGAAGAGTGTTGTATAGTCCTCGGTCCTCACACTAACTGGGACTATCGACAAATGTCAAATTGGGTATCTCGGATTTGCCTGAGGTAAAAGGGTGCCTAGAAGTGTTTCGAAGTACGACATTATGTAGAGATCACACTATGTGGCAGGCAATGAGGAATCAATCCACAATTCCCGCTCCTTGAGAAGATCCCTTTGCCCAAAGTACTCGCCAACAACTGTGATAATCATGTCGAGCATAGCACGGGTCTGCATCGCCACTTCAGTAGCACTGTCCTTTGGGCTCTCTTCAGCGTCGTTGGAGACGTCGAGATTGTCCGATTTGTCGGGTTCCAGCGTTTCATTTTCATTGCCCTGAAGCATTGCTTGAAGACGCGCTTTGGCTGCGTCGAGGTCTTCTGCAGGCGGCTCCCTTGCCGCATCTTGCATTTCATGGTCAGCCTGATCAGCAGCGAGACTATTTTCTTGAGCATCCTCGGGATGTCTGTAGTCGTCTTCCGAAATCTCGTCATCATCCGACTCCTCATTCGACAGATCACCATCTCGCCGGGCAGCCTTGGCCTTCTCGTCCTCCTCCCTCATCTTATGCAATATCTTCACAGCCCGTTTGCCTAAATCTCGAATATCGCCCACTTCTTCAGTCCCCAGTTGTCCAATATCGCGGCACTTGCCCAACAGTCCCCAAGCCCAGGCTCCAATCCGTCTGACTCGTTCCGCATCCCCGCTTCTGACATTCTCGGACATCAGCCTGGCCATTATTCCCAACACACCCAGTACGCTGTCCATATCCATACAGGCCAGCTGAACTGTCTGCGGGTCTACTGCTAACAGAAGCCGTCGCCACTCCTTGCGGGCAGCCTTCGAATGTCGGGGGAAACTGATTGGATGCGAATCGTCCAGTGCAGCAATCGCGCTCGATGGTGGCGTGCATTTTAGGATGGATCGGAGAAGGAGAAAGCGATGGTGGAGGAGATTGTAGTAGCTCGATTGCGCATCGGAGTATTCGTCTTCCTGTGGTCCCGTAGTTGCTTGCGCGATTTCCGGTTCGGCAGGAGCAGCCATGTAGACACCGTCTGCGAATACACCGTCGCGCAAAGGCGCAGGTGCTGGTTCGGGCTCTTGCTCTTCTGTGATCGCATCGTTTGTCTTCTCCGTTGGCGTCTCCGCAGGTTTGGGCGCGGTAAACAGGAAAGGTAGAGAGTTAGCTTCGGATCTGTACTCTCATGAAAGAGTCATTGGCCGGCGATTAGCTTTCGAACCACCAAATGCTCGTCGCAAGTGAGAACTATACATGGGGCAAATGACATGTAGACATTTAGCAAGCGGGGAGCAGGAATGAAATTAACGAGGATCCGCGAGTGAAAAAGCTTACCGGACCATGCGAAGATACTCCATTCCATCCTCTGCTTCACCGTAGAACAGCTCATCCTCCACGTCGACGTCTAAGCCTGGAAAGGCGCTCTTTTGTCCATACACGGGGTGGTTGCGAGGGCGTTCGTAGGGCGTCACGGCGGGCGCCATCTCGTCGGCATCATCCTCTTCTGCATACGATGGACGGGGACGTTTCGAGTAAGGAGATGAACCAGAGGCAGATGTGGGTGGTTTCCGCTTCTCCGGCATGATTTCAATCTGGGTTTGCGTTTCAGAGCCTTGTTGTTCTGATGCTGACAGGATTCATGATTCTCCGAACCCAAAAAGTTCCAGCCTCGGGAGCTTGGGCCACCTCTTAAAGGGCAGCTCAGCGGATGCCTTGGACCCTTGGCAACCAAAATGGCCTCTACTGAAAGAACGCTACGAAGACAGTCTGATCCGAAAATAGTCCCTGAATATGATTATGCGGCTTATCCAGTCTCATGTTTTCCTTTATACTTTTGTTCATACGGGTATGTAATGATGTCGCTAGCTAAACTAAATGCTCAAGGGCGCAGGCGCTGGGGATCACGAGGGAACAGACTTGCCAAACGGACGTTCGGCAGGCCCAGGAAGAACATGACAATACGATTCAGGCCCAAACCACCACCCGCGTGGGGAGGACAGCCCTGGCGGAAAGCAGCCAGGTAATCTTCGAAGCCCTCGTGCTTGGGATCGAGCCCCTTGGCGATCATCGACTCCTCGAGTTCCTTGATGTCATTGATACGCTGCGCTCCGGACATGATCTCCTCACCACGCATGAAGAAATCATAAGAGTTGGAGAACTTGGGGTCCTGGGGGCAGGCCTTGGTGTAGAAAGGCCGGACGGCCATAGGGAACTTGTCCAGCACGTAGAAATCAGTGTCGTACTTGTCGCGGATGATCTGGCCCAGATGCTTCTCCATCGCGGTCGTCAAATCGTTCTCGAATCGCTCCTGCTCAGAAACATCGACACCGGCTTCCTTGAGCAGAGCCACACCGTCCATGTAGTTAAGTCTCAGAGCCTTGCCATCCTTGGGAAGCTTGAAGTCGCCAGCCTTGGGGTACGACTTCTGGATAATGGCAATCTGATCCTTGTAACGCTCCTTGAGTTGGGTGAGAATGAAGACGAGGAGGTTTTCGGCAAACTCCAAGACCTCGTGGTAGTGGCTGCGGAATGTCATCTCGAAATCGAGACCGGCGAACTGAAGATTGATTAGGATCGATCGATTTTCAACAAAATAGATTGATTGACATACCTCGGTCAGATGTCTGTGTGTGTTACTCTCCTCAGCACGGAAGACAGGGGCGATCTCGAAGACGCTCTCCATGTCACCCGCAATGCACATCTGCTTGTACAGCTGGGGGCTCTGCGCCAAATAGGCGTTGCGCTTGAAATATTTGACCTCAAACACATTGCTGCCACCCTCTGTGGCGGCACCGACCAGCTTGGGCGTGAAAATCCACCTCGACCCGCTCTTGATCATGTACTCTGCAAACAGCTCCGCAACACCACTCGAAATCCAAGTAATGGCCTGGCTAGTTTCCGTTTGTAGATCAAGAACGCGGTTGTCTAGACGAGTCTTGAGAGTTACAATAGGAGCACCCTCTGCGTCGACCAGATTGCCCTCCTCAGTCGTCTCTGGCGGCGGTCTCTCGGCATCCTTAACCTGCATAGGAAGCATCTGGGGGGCCTCTGAGATCATGTAGACTTTCTGAATGTGGATTTCAAGGTTGCTAAGGGTAGCCGAGGAGATAGGGATGGCAGGCTTCTTGACGATGCCGGTAACCTGGATGATGGAGTTGACGTTCAGCCCGCCCGTATACTTGACCATCTGTCTCGAGATGGGCTCCGCAGCCGCAATGACAGCCTGCACCTTCTTTCCCTGCTGCCTCAGCATCAGGAAAGCAAGTTTAGCACTCTGAACACGCGCATTGTCCACACGAGCCACCACGGTGACCTCCTTCTCATAGTGGTCCTCGCCGAGCTCGGAGAACTTCGTAGAMGGAACGACATCTTCGGATTCGGGGAGCTGGCCGTACAGGCCCTTGGCGGTATCGTTGGCTTCAGCAGCAGCAGCTTGAGCCTTCTCCTGGGCCGCACGAGCCGCAGCCTTCTCGGCCTTGGCCTTTTCCTTTGCGGCCTTCTTCAAGGCACTCTTGCTGGGACCCTTTTCAGCTCCTTCGGCGGGGGCGGCCGCGGGGGTTTCCTCGGGCTTGGGGCGAACGGGCAATTCGGAGTCCGCCATGGTCGCTGGTGTTTCACGGAGTTTGCAGACTGAATCGGGGGGAGGTGGGTGTCGTTATGACTTTCTCAGGCTCATGAGTCAATGAGATGCTCCGACTCACCCCGCCAAATCATCCTAGCCCTAAGCCCTAGGAGGGGCTCCCTTCAAGGCACGTGTTGATGCCTTTATGCCTCAGGTACCAACATCTCCAGTTATCTTCGGCATGTTTTGAAGATATAACAAAGGCGAAAGAAGTATTTAATTCAGTTCTGGGATAACGATACATTTTCCGAAAAGCGAATCCAGTACAAGAAGTTTGTGGTATCTCAGATATGGACATATTATAACGCAGGTCTGCCAACAGTGTATATGCTTGCTTGCACCCGAGTAATCCATAATGCATGCAGTTCGCTCTATAGAAAATAAACCATCCAGTTGATCTAGTCCTTCATCTGGCGACTTTCCACCCAGAAGTCTTTATTCCCCATTCGACGGCCTTCTGTACATCATCAACGATAACTTTTGKAGTCCAAGCGGGTTCTCCTCCTCTGTAGACACCAGTGCGCACGAGAATTGAATGCCAGTTGCTGCCATTTCCGCTGCGGTAGCTGTTTGCGCCTCGAATATCGGACTCTGGGTTGTCCCCAACCATATAAACATTCCGTAATGGTTTAGTAACGTCAGTTCCAAAGATCCTTGTGCGATTGCGCAGCAGTTGTCGCTCCGCGAACTCATACGTTCCTTGGTACGGCTTCCCGATGATCGTCTTCTTCAGCTCGACGCCTTTGCTTGGCCCTCCGGTGATCGCAGCCCAGGTGCCTTCCAAGGCCTCGCGAAAACCTCCCTGGCCCAGACGCGGTAAATGATAAGCAGCTGCCCACCACAAATCGGGATTTGAAAAGTACAGATGTGGCTGGCCATCTTGTAAGAATCCTTTGTTTGGGAGATCCGTCCGCCCATTCTTGTCCGATATTGTACCCAATACACCCTGCGATGACAGTAGAAGGTCGATAATCACATGGGCGTCCAACCCCCAGTCGCGGGGGTCATTGAACACGAAGATGGCATCAATCTTCAATCCCTTGGTTGGATCTCGAGGGTCCAGCGGGCTCGGTATCGGCCTCGCAAATTTCTCATAGTAGTCTTTGAAAACTTTGGAGAACGGCCAAATGGACGGATTGGCCATGAAAATATCGCCAGGGGTCAGCACATTCTTGAAGCCATACTGCTCCGCAACCCGGCGACAGCCATCACCTTCGCCTCCGACAACTAGCACACATTTGTTCTCCAAGGAGCTGTGCTCATCAGGCCCTTTCACAAGCTCTGCAAAAGGAGAATGGCTTTGGATGATGACCGAGGCGTCCAAGGGTACCTTGAGCTTCTCACTGATCTCCGCTACACGCTCTGTTTCATGTTTCCCACCGCCGTTTGTCAAGAGGATGAACGGAATTCCTTGGCCCTTGAGATATGCTAGTGACTCGGCGGCACCGGGGATGGGCTTGGACGACCGGAGGAGTACACCATCGATGCTAGGTCACATTGTGGGTTAGCGAGAGTATTAACAAATCGCGATGATCTCAAACTTACTCAAATGCGAATGCAAAGTCTGGAATCTGAGATGTGGAAGTGGCAGTGTGGATGGCTCTGCGACAAGAATAAGTGTATGCGCTCTGCAATCGTCCGAGAGAGCGCCAAAGAGGTTGCGGTCTCATTCTAAGCGAATGTAGCTAATCAGCAGATGTATGCTCTGTATCAGTGATAAACGCATATGAATATATATTGGCAACGGTGCAATTGACTGTAGAAAGTGAATTGACTCGGATACGGGGAGATAAAGCGGAGTAGCAACAACAGCGGGCAGCGGACCGACACAATGAGATCATTCCCCGGTTATTTAATCTCTTATCGGACCAACATCAACGGCCCCTCTACCACTCTACCCGGCTTGTCCTTTTAAGAGCCTCTCTATTCTGCACTAGTATCATGGCATTCTGGATTTTATACGCCCCACATGCACTCTACTCGCCAAATCTATCTTCCTACTGAAGTCGTCGTGCAAATCGTCCGCTTTGTGGCTGCAGATGAAGCCCATCGTCAAGAGGCGCTATACGCATGCTGCTTAGTATCGCGTCAGTGGTACTCCGCAGCCGTCGCCTTTCTGTATGAAAAGCCCCGGTTACATATCGGAAACTCTTTCCAGCAGTTTGTATCAACTTGTTCAGGAGTCGGTGTACGGAGGAATAAATTGAATCTGGGAAGTTTTGTCCGCCGCCTTGATCTCAGCCGCCTGGTGCACCATAGCTCCAATAGTGTGACTGCTAGGCTGCTTGGCCGAGTCAAGGAGAACCTAGAAGTTTTCGTGGCTCCAAGAGTGTCGTTTGCGTAAGTGTTGACTCTCTCGTTTGGACTCGCCGGTTTTCTTCTCATTACAAAGCTTTCATGCTTCTATCTCGAGATTTGCCGCCTCTTTTACAGAGAGTGATTGATCTTTTCTAACATAAGTTACAGTGTCAACAGCCTTCCTGCTCTGTCAAAATGCACGAATCTCCGCCATCTTGATCTCTCCCTGGTTGCGGATCCGATTCCCTTCCCCAATCTCAAGAAAGCGTTAAGTCGTCTGCTGCGACTGCGTACCCTTCGACTTCCCCGCTCAACCAATCTCGATGTTCCCGACTCATCACAAACAGAATGGCCTCCCCTCCTTCATAAGCTGCAACTGAGCGGTCACTTCTCAGCCACCACGATCCCCTCATTTTCCTGGCCGCCTGCTCTCACCAGCTTGACTTTGAAGAATTGCAAGGATTTGTCGGTGACGAGCATTGCCTGCTTGCTCAGTAGTCCGCAGCTGAGCGAGACCCTAAAACACCTTACAGTATCCTATGCAAATCGTGGGCTTGAGCCTGGGTCTATCAACGCCGTGACGGCGTTCCTACCCGGCCTGACATTTCTGAGTGTTCCCGGCGATATGGTAGATGAGACGTTCTTCGATGTCCTATACTTCCTGTCCCCTCCCTTGGCTCTTGAAGTGCTCGAGTTCGACATGCCCAATTTGGACCCAGTACTCCATTTTGAAACAGCATCCTTAATCATGGCGCTGGACAAAGGCCTGAGTAACGTCCACTCCATCGGATTCTCGGATATATTCTGCACCGACGAGCGCATTATCGAAGACGAAGAAGTTGACAATGTCCTTCATAAACATGCTAAGCAGAGAGCTGAACAAGGTGCGACGACCGCGGTCGACGAAACTGAAGTCGGGGTATATTACATGTGACTAGCATGGCTCTCTGATTCTATGAGATTACATGTACGCGCCGCAGACGATTCATGATAATGACTTATGATCTCGGTACACTGTTGCCTTCATAACGACAAAAGTGACTTTCACCAGTGTGAACTTACAGCATGTTTTTTTACATTTTGTCAACGTCGTATACTCTAGATACGGTTGCTCCTCAGCTACAATGAATGTATCAATAATGTATAGTCAAAAGCATGGCTCGGTTACCATGTACCGGCTGACAAGCCCAGAATTTATGCATGTAAGATTTTCCGACCTTTGAATCATCAATCCATTGAAGCTCCATTCTCACAAAGTTTCCTTTCACAAGTATGATGCAGGGTTGTTCATAGGGAATTCCTCGATGTGCAGACTATATATCGTTCTCCCGATGAGCAGCAAAATCGGACAAAAGCTCCAAGCGCTGGCAAACTTAACTCTGGAGCGACAACAAAGATCTTTGGTCAGAGAGCAAGGTCATAAAGAGAGCAATCTAGAGTGCTGCCAGTCTTATCGTGGCGAGTCCTTCGCGGACAGCTGTCGACCCTGAATTTCTTTGGAATAGCTTCATCCGGAGAAAATAAGGTGTGGTATTAAAAGGGCTGACCATAACGAATTCTTTCACGAATAAAGTGTATCGCACTGCACAGGTGTGGTAGACAGGTATAAAACGCGGACTTGAAACGTTTTTGATCCATTTTGCTTCTTCAACGACTAAGTACACTTCAAGGTCTAAATAAGGGCCCCTTGAGTCATACTACTGCCCTCCTGGGACGGTAACGCGACGAGAGAGAGGGAACCAAGGACACTGAACGTCCAGAAGACGACAAATAGAGAATATCGGGTAGAAGGGTCAAAGAAAAAGGAAAGATATGTAGGAACCAAGTGGATAACGGGTTTTGGCAGCTACACAAAAATAATCATCGCATCTAGCTGGACACCTCAATTATAGGTAGAAACTGGCAATTGAAGAAAAGAGGAACAAAACGCAGGAAATGGTTCTGGTCTCATGAAATGCAGAATCCGTCGTTAGTGCACGCCTGCTGGAATGTGCACCCATTACAATATACAACCTTAAGCAAGAGCTGCCATGACAGCAGGAGCGACACCCTCCTCCTCCGCTCGGATGGTGATCTTGGTAGTGACACCCGTCTTGCTTGAAAAAGCCATCTTGATCAAAGCTGCAACCCTACCACCTGACACAGTCTTTCCGAAGAGCTTGAGTGTATGTGTGCTGTTGCTAAGGGCCACATCGGAGCCTTCTAGTGGCTGGAGAGAAAGGGCAGTGATCAATTGCTCGGTGGCATCTGCAGTCAAGTCAGTATCGAGTTGTATCCACATTGAAATGTCGAATTCGAGACGCACCTGAAATGCTCTTCATGTTACTGAGCTGTAGAGTCTCGCTGACTTCCTCCCCGTTCGCACCGGTCTGCTCCCAGACGTGGTCAAAGCTGCCGGCAAACGTGGGAATGACATAGTCGCTGCCAGTAAGCTCCAAGTCCTCGACTTGATACTCGTCCTCATATCCGCTATCCTCTGGCTCGCCGGTTGTAGGATCGACCTCCTTGCTGGTAAATTTCAAGATATTTGTAAATGATGTGACAGGGAAGCTGTGTTCGCCGGCGAGTTTCTTGAAGGTGACGTATACGATACCAGGCTCATTTGTAGCCAGCTTGGGAGCGGGCACGATGAACTCTTCTTCCAGGACCTCTTCCTCGGAAGGAGTGGCGACCACCGTTACGTCCTCAAGGACCGTGTCGGGCAGAGTGTTCTTGATGTCGTACTGCACGACAATGTGCTCCTTGAAAACGTGCTTGACGGCTGTCACCACGTATTCCGTCTCGCTCTCAGTAAGCTCTACAGGCAGAGAGGACTTGAGCAAAGTTCCGTATGCCTTGAGCTCTGGAATCTGCATGAGTTGCTCCGCATATTTCTGAGTTGCCGCTGCGGTTGCCGCCTCGGCGACGCCGTTGGCCTTGCCTTTGGGAGGGCCGGCAGAAGGAGCCTTGAGGGTGGGAGTTGCTGTCGTGAGCTTCTTGGTTCTCTCTTCGGCCAATGCTTGTTCTTGTGTGACAACAGGAACCGTGGAAACGTCGAAAGCCGCGGCAAATGTGTCCTTGCTTGTTGATGTCACGTACATGACAAGCTGGTGTTCGAACGTAGAAAGTGAAAACATAGAATCTAGTTATATAAGTTACCGAACAGACCAGGTTGAAATCAGACAACTTATACATACCGTTCTTGATAAATCGTTCGGCCATCTCGTCCTCTTCCGCCATAAGACGAAGATTGAGAGCAGCTCGGTCTCGTACCTCATCATCCGTATCGTCAAGGCAGCGTGTAAGAAGGACGGAGACACTGGATTTCACTTCAGGATCCTTCTGCCCGACGCCAAACTTGGCCAGGGCCGTGACGGCGGCAGCTCGTACAATAGCATTCTCCAGGACGACTCTATTGTAAATGTAGCGAATGTACTTAGTGGGATGAGATGTCTTGGGCCCTTCTACACCGAGAAGGTGCAGAATTCGGACCGACAATTTGGTAAATTCACAGTCCTCGATAAACTCGCAGAGGTGGGCAAGGGCTAGTTATTGTTAGTTGGATTGCCAAACTACCAAGTTAAAGGGAAAAGGAAGTAGGGTTGGGGAGTTCGTACCATCTTCTTTGCTCTCAGGAACGAATTTAATCAGGTCGAACATGCTTTCAACGACACTCCGCTTGAATTCATACCCACCCTCGTCCCTGAGTATGCCGCTGAGGAAAGCCAGCATACCGGCCTGCTTGCTGGGGAACTTCAAGCAGAGAGTCCGAATAGCTTCGACGATAGTGATCTTGAACTCATCCGTGATATCAGCCATAAAACCAGAGATCTGCTTCATCAAGCGATCGACACTGGCCTCGTTGCCAGTCTTGAGCAGTGTGGTGATGGCGAAAGTGGCGATGGAACGGTTGGAGTTGGAGATAAGAGATTCAATGTCAGGGTTGCACACATTGACAACATGAGGCTTGAAGCTGGCAAAGTTGTGGAGGATACGAATGGCAGCGAACTTGGTAATGGCGCGGGGAGAAGAAAGGAACAACTGGAGAACATGAACAGCCTGGGACGCTTCCGCATCGGTAACATCGCGCATATCGCAGATTGCCTTTGCCGCCTCAAAGTTGACCATCTCATGTTTATGCCGGAGCCAGCCATCAAGCATCTGCATCATCGGTTTCCTCAGGCCTGGGTCCTCCTCGGCCAGCTTCGCCGCTAACCGCACCAACAATACCAGCGCGGCCGGGCTCTTCACAACACCAGCTGCTCCATACTGTTGAACCATCTTCACCAACGCCATCCTGTCATGCGAGCGCATCTGGTACAAGAGACCAATGGCATGATATTGAGTCATAAAGTTTGATTGCGAGATAGCGTGGCTCGAAGAGCTGCCGCCG